TAAGAAGACCAGACTTAACAGTCTGACTGAGACTGGAGGAACCCCGGAAAGCATGGCCCCTGGATTCTCTGTCAGCCCAGAACTAAAACAGTTTCCAAGGCCAACTCTTCAGACAGGGATTGTACTGGACTGTGGGACATAAAGTGATAGTCGTGAGGAGTGTGCCTCTTAGCTCAAGTAGATACAAGAGACTAAACTGGCAGCTTCTGTCTGGAGGTGAGATGGGAAGGCAGAGTGGGTTAGGAGGTGATTGAATGGACATGGGGAATCAGCTGGAAAGGAGGAGGGTGTTGTCACAGTATGGGGAGAGCAATTAGAGTCACATAACAATGTATGTATAAATTTTTATATGGGAAAAAATAAAAAATAATAATTTCTGCATTCTGTTGGAGCACCTTTCTTTGAAATGAGCAGAAATATGGACCTTTTCCAGTCGGTTGGCCAGGAAGCTGTCTTCCAAATTTCTTGGCATAGACGAGTGAGTACTTCCAGCATTGCATCTGTTTATTGAAACATCTTAATTGGTATTCCATCAACTCCTGGAGGCTTGTTTTTTGCCAGTGCCTTTCGTGCAGCTTGGACTTCTTCCTTCAGTCCATTGGTTCTTGATCATATGCTTCCTTCTGAAATGGATGCATATCAACCAATTCTTTTTGGTACTGTGACTGTGTATTACTTTCATCTTCCTTTGATGCTTCTTGGATCGTTCAATATTTTCCCCACAGAATCTTTCAATATTGCAACTAGAGGCTTGAATTTTTACTTCAGTTCTTTCAGCTTGACAGATGCTGACATATTCTTCCCTTTTGGTTTTCTAACTCCAGGTCTTTGCACATTTCATTACAATATTTTACTTTGTCTTCGCGAGCCGACCTTTGATATCTTCTGTTCCACTCTTTCACTTCATTATTTCTTCTTTTCATTTTAGCTTCTCTGCATTCCAGGGCAAATTTCAGAGTCTCTTCTGACATACATTTTGGTCTTTTCATTCTTTTTTGTCTTTTTAATGAGCTTTTGCTTTCTTCATGTCTGATGTCCTTGATGTCATCCCACATCTCATCTGGTCTTTGGTCATTAGTGTTCAGTCCATCAAATCTGTTGTTGAGATGGTCTCTAAATTCAGATGGGATATGCTCCAGGTCGTACTATGGCTCTTATGGACTTATTTAATTTACTTCAGCGCTTCACCTTGAACTTGCATATGAGCAGTTGATGATCTGTTCTGCAGTCAGCCTCTGGCGTTGTTCTGACTGATGATGTTGAGCTTCTCCATCATCTCTTTCCACAGATGTAGTCTATTTGATTCCTGTGTTTTCCATCTGGTGAGGTCCACATGTATAGTCGTCGTTTATGTTGTTGAAAAAAGGTATTTGCTAGGAATAAGTCATTGGTCTTGCAAAATTCTGTCATGTGATCTCCAGCATCGTTTCTGTTACCAAGACCATATGTTCCAACTACTGTTCCTCCTTCTTCATTTCAGACTTTCACATTCCAGTTTCCAGTAATTATCAATGCATGTTGGTTGCATATTTGATCAGTTTCAGACTGCAGAAGTTGACCAATGTCCTAAGTTTCTCATCTTCAGCATTAATGATTGGCGTGTAAATTTGTGTAGTAGTCATCTTAACTAGTCATCCTTGTAGGCCTATGGGTATTATCCTATCACTGACAGCGTTGTACTTTAGGATAGATCTTAAAATGTTCTTTTTGATGATAAATGTGATGCCATTCCTCTTCAATTTGTTACTCCTGGCAAAGTAGACCATATAATTGTTCAATTCAAAACGGCCAGTACCAGTCCATTTCAGCTTACTAATGCCTAGGATATTGATATTTATATGTTCCATTTCATTTTTGACAACTTACAATTTTCCTAGATTCATACTTCATATATTCCACATTACGATTGCTAATGGTTGTTTGCACCTGTTTCTTATCATTTTGAGTTGTGTTACATCAGCACATGAATGTCCCGAAAGCTTGACTCCGTCCACATCATTAAGGTTGACTCTACTTTGAGGAGGCAGCTCTTCCTCAGTTGTATTTTGAGTGCCTTACAACCTGAGGAGCTCATATTCTGGCACTCTGTCAGACAGTGTTCCCCTGCTAGTCATAAGGATTTCACTGGCCAGTTTTTTTAGAAGTAAACTGACTGGTCCTTCTTTCTAGTCTGTCTTAGTCTGGAAGCTCCGATGAAACCTGTCCACCATGAATGACCCTGTGATATTTGAAATATTGCTGGCATAGCTTCCAGCATCACAGCAACACGAAAGCTGCTGTAGTCCCACAAACTGACAGATGAGTGGTGGAATTTGTACTATAGCAGCATAAAATAATGTAACAGTTTGCACTTTCAACAGATAGATACTAATAGGGAGGTTTACGCAAAGCCAGACTCTTTCATTTCATTATTAGTTTAGCTCATGTCCTTCTCTGGTGTTAAACATGTCACTCCTATGCATCCTTCAGCATGTAGCTTCTTAACTACGTTTTTCAGGTTTGTGCCTGTAAATAGCAAAGTTAATAGCAAAGTTCCTGTGAGCTTAGTTTATTCTTTTATTGTTCTTCATGATAATGTTTTTTCTTTTCCCTGCCTGAGTACCTGTTTTCCCATTCCTACCTCAGTCTTTAACAGTGTGTTTTTCTTATTAAAATACAAGTGTTTTGTCTTCTCAAAAAGGTTAGACTCAGTCAAGTGAAAAAGAAACGATTTGTCATTGTTGTCATTTGGGCTTTTCAGTGCCTGTCTTTGTTACATTAGGATGGACAAAAAAATATGATATCATGGATATAAAGAGTTATTGTTAACTACTTATGGAAAATATTCTAGATACAATTTTTTCAAATTATTTTGTTTTCTTCGTCTTTTAAAATTCAGTTGTGTGTTCACAGTTGTGCTTTTCACTGTAATCGTTAATGCTGGCCGTATCTAGAATCCCATACTAAATCAAAATGTAGCATTCTGATATGTCCTCCCCCCTGTACTCCCAATCTAGCTCTGTGGTCCTTTGAAGAAATTCATTTTGTAAATTACCTCAGTAGTAGTGATACGTTATGATAGGAATTTTTCTTTTTTTTACACCATTGTGGTTGGTCTAACTTCCTTACTTTTTCAAGTAATTCAGGAGAACTACTATATGTTCTTATCATAGAAGGTGTTAGAAACTGGTTGTTTCTTGGCAGTGATTTTCAAACTTCTAGATACTTTACATATGTAGTTTATAAAAATCACTTTTGTCCTTTTAAAGTAATAAAATGTGCCCTAAGTTTAGTGCTGAGGTACTCTGTTGTAAGACTGAAAAATCTGAAATATGTTTTTATTTTAACTCTTCCTGTAGTTGGCAGGTTGTCTGAATGCTATCTCAACCTGCGTTTTTCAGAAGGATGAGATGATAATTTGCTTCTCTGGTGAGCTTGTGACTTAGGTCCATTTAAGTTCACAAATATAATGATCAGAGAAGGTTTAAATCCTCTATAAATTATTTTGAAAACATTATATAGTGATTAATCATTATGGTATCAAAGTGATTACCATTCATTACATCTTAGGAATCTTGAAAAATGACCAAATAATCCTTTACTGTAATCATAAAATAAGCCATATTGTATGCAAAAAATAAAAATAAATAAGAAATGTAATAAAGACAATGACCTTTTTTTTTGCTCTCCCGTCTGCCCTTTCATGCAGGTACAACTTGGCCAAGTAGAAATCAAATGCCCTATCACAGAGTGTTTTGAATTCCTGGAAGAAACAACCGTTATCTATAACTTAACGCATGAAGACTCCATCAAATATAAGTACTTCTTGGAACTTGGCCGTATTGATTCCAGCACCAAGCCATGTCCTCAGTGCAAGCACTTTACAACCTTCAAGAAAAAAGGACATATTCCCACCCCTTCCAGATCAGAAAGCAAATACAAAGTAAGCATGTTCACCAGAGTTGTGGGTTAGATGTCACAGGATGGGAGCAGCCAAATTAGGCCAACTTGTGGTGGGCATTAAATGGGCTTCCTTCCCTTACCAGAGCCTAAGGTGAGTATACTTTGGCTATGATTCTGAATAAGTATGGTTTGGGGAGTCTGATGATAAGAGAGTACTTTTGAAAATTTAGTAACCCAGTTGAAAGTCTGGACTTTAGAGTAATAGTCATTGTTATTACTAAATAATAAATACTAAAACTTTCTCTTCTCTGTTTTTAGTGTAAACATAACTTTTTCAGTCATCCTAATGTGAGTCTCCTCTGGTTCTGTCTTAATTAGTGAAAACAGTATAAATGTTATTCATTAATTTATTCACCAAGTATAGAATGCCAGAATATTCTTGGCGGTGTCTTAAATGTGGGGATACAGAGGCAAATGTGATGTAATCTCTGCTCTGAAAAAGTCTGATGAAGGTGAGAGACATATCTTCTAAAATAGAGTTCAATATTTTTAGTCAAATAATAATAATATATGCGGGGTGCTTTGGTAATGCTGAAGGAGAGTTAGGGGAAAGGATGTTAGGAAAGGCCCATAGAGGAGGTGCAGTTCTCCAGGCAGATAAACAGTGAAGAACATTCCAGAGCAATAGATGACTAAGTGTTCAGGCCCAGAGGCTGAGGTCCTGGCATGTTGTAAACAAGTGCTTTGCAGAGGTACTGGGGAGACAGTAGGGAAGAGAGAGCTGCTCAGGTAGATAAGAGCAGGTCATGTTGAGTCTTTCACACTTTGCTCAGAAGTTTGAATTTAACTCTGTAGGCATTAAAGAAAGATCATTCTAGCAGCATTGATAGAGGATGTCACAGAGGACAAGATAGAAGGCAGGGAAACCTGGACATCAACTGTGGAAGTAAATAATTGATTCACAACCCTGGCTGTTTACTAGAATCACCCGGAGAACTTTTAAGAAACAACAGTGCCCCAGGCCTAGCCCAGAACAGTCATCTTGGGTGAGAGGCCTGGGCATTGCAAATGTTTTAGCCTCATGGTGACCCTAATACGCAGCAGAGGTGAAAACCTTTGCAGTAAATGAAGCAGAAGTGATGAGGCTGTGGCAGTAGTTGTCATCCTTGTCACTACAGCTAAATGGCAGGATAAACTGGTTTCAAAGACTGAAGGTATCTCCATTTAGATAAGTTTTTGCCCATGTTCTGTGTCTTGGGAGCTGTGGTCGCTACATTGTTCATTGTGTAGCTTTGAGGGGACTGTGGTTTAGCAAGTAGTTTCCTCTGCTGTTACAATGATGAGTTAGAGTACTTGCGGGTTAGTCAAAGCCTCTTAATGAGTAATTGGTCTTGGAAACTGCTTGACTCTCGTATATACATATATTTTAATGTAAATTTACTATTTTGGTACAGGTGTAACTCTTTAAGACATAACTATCAGGAAAAACTGTGTGTGTGTGTGCGTAAAGAATGTCATTTTTGAGGTTACAAAGTTGTATGACTAAAATACATCCTAACAGTGATTTTAAATGCTGAGTTAATAGAATATTTTATTTCGCTCTGAGTATTCTTAGATTATTTTAAGCTATTTTTATCCCAACATATATGAAATTGATATTATCAGGGAATTACTAATTTTAGAAGAAATTGTTCTTACAGAAAAGTGTTTATTCTACAACTTAGGCTATTTGATTTTTTTCAAAATTATGTTTAGAATTGGAAACTTTTATGTATTATCTATGCATATATGTACACATGTGTGTGTGTATGTGTGTTTGCGTATAGGGAGAGAGACAGATAGAATCCCTCGGTGACACAGATGTTCAGTGCTCGACTACTAGCTGAAAGGTTGGTGGTTTGAAACCACCCAGAGTCACTTCAGAAGATAGGCCTAATGATCTGCTTCTGGAAGGTCACAGACTTGAAAACCTTATGGAGCAGTTCTACTTTGTACTCATGGGGTCACCATGAGTTGGAATCAACTAGATGACAATTAACAACTCTTTCTCACTCTCTCTCTCTATATATATGTATGTATGTATGTATATTGTTAGTTGTTAGGTGCCATTGAGTCGATTCTGACTCATAGCAAGGCTATGTACAACAGAAAGAAACCTTGCCCGGTCCTGTGCCATCCTCACAATATTTGCTGTGCTTGAGCCCATTGTTGCAGGAATTGTGTCAGTCCATCTCACTGAGGGTCTTCCTGTTTTTTGATGACCCTCCACTTTACGAAGTATGGTGTCTTCTCCAGGGACTGGTCCCTCCTGAAAACTGTCCAAAATACGGGAGACAAACTCTCACCATCCTTGCTTCCAAGGAGCATTCTGGCTGTTCTTCTTCTAGGATGAATTTGTTTGTTCTTCTGGAAATCCATGGTATATTCAGTATTCTTCACCAACATCATAATTCAAAGGCATCAATTCTTCTTTGGTCTTTCTTATCCAGCTTTTGCATGCATATGAGGAGATTGAAAGCACCATGACTTGAGTCAGGTGCACCTTAGTCCCCAAAGTGATATCGTTGCTTTTCAAAACTTTAAAAAGGTCTTTGGCAGCAGATTTGCCCAATGCAATACATTTATTTCTGGACTGCTGCTTTATATACACACACACACCCACACACACCCACACCCACACCCACACCCACCCCCCCACACACACCCACCCAAAAACAAACAAACCAAACCCGTTGCTGCTGAGTGGATTCCGACTCATAGGAACCTTATAGCACAGAGTAGAACAGACCCATAGGATTTCCAAGGCTTTAATCTTTATGAAAGCAGACTGCCACATCTTTCTGCCTTGGAGCAGCTGGTGAGTTCGAACCACCGACTTTTAGGTTATCAGCCTAGCACTTTAACCACTGCGCCACCTGGCTCCTTATATATACTCTTTGGAATTTGTGTTATTTAAAACATAGTATACACAATTGCATGACAGGAAAGAAAGAAAAGACCGAAATGGATGTCGGAAGAGACTCTGAAACTTGTTCTTGAACATAGAGCAGCTAAAGTGAATGGAAGAAATGATAAAAGAGCTGTACAGAAGATTTCAAAGGGCAGCCCAAGAAGACAAAGTAAAATACTATAATGAAATGTGCAGAGACCTGGATTTAGAAAACCAAAAGGGAAGAACACACTTAGCATTTCTTGAGCTGAGAGAACTGAAGAAAAAGTGCAAGCCTCGAGTTGTAGTATTGAAGGTTTCTCTGGGCAAAATATTGAACGATGCAGGAAGCAGCAAAGGAAGATGGAAGGAATACACCGAGTCATGGTACCAAAAAGAATAGGGTGACTTTCAACCATTTCAGGAGGTAGCATATGATCAAGAACCAGTGGTATTGACAGAAGAGGTCTAAGCTGCATTGAAGGCATTGGCAAAAAAAAAAAGGCTGCAGAAATCAATGGAATACCAATTCAGATGTTTCAACAAACAGATACAGCATTGGAGGTACTCACTCGTCTGTGCCAAGAAATTTGGACGATAGTTACCTGACCAGCCAACTGAGGAGATCAATATTTGTGTCCATTCCAAAGAAAGATAATCCAACAGAATGCAGAAATTATTGAATAATATCATTAATATCACACACAAGCAAAATTTTGCTGAAGATAATTCAGGAATAGTTGCAGCAGTATATCCACAGGGAACTACGAGAAATTCAAGCCAGATTCAGAAGAGGACTTGGAACAAGGGATATCATTGCTGATGTTAGATGGAGCTTGACCAAAAGCAGAGATTGCCAGAAAGATGTTTACCTGTGTTTTATTGACTGTGCAAAGGCATTAGACTATTTAGATCATAACCAATTATGGATAACATTGCAAAGAATGGGAATTCCTAAACACTTAATTGTACTCATGAAGAACCTCTACATGGACCAAGAGGCAGTCATTTGAACAGAACAAGGGGATACTACATGGTTGAAAATAAGGAAAGGTGTGTGTCAGGGTTGTATCCTTTCACAGTAATTGTTCAGTCTGCACGCTGAGCAAGTAATCTGAGAAGCTGGTCTATATGAAGAAGAACAGGGCATCAGGATTGGAGGAAGACTCATTAACAACCTGTGTTATGCAGATGACACAACCTTGCTTACTGAAAGCAAAGAGGACTTGAAGCACTTACTGATGAAGATCAGAGACTATAGCCTTCAATATGGATACACCTCAATATAAAGAAAACAAAAATCCTCCATTGCCATAAAACAATATGTGTACTAACTGTTTAATGAGAAACTATTTGTTCTGTAAACCTTCATCTAAAATACAATAAAAATATAAAAAAAAGAACACAAAAATCCTCACAACTGGACCAATAAGCAACATCATGATAACTGGAGAAAAGATTGAAGTTGTCAAGGTTTACATTTTACTTGGATTTATAGTCAGTGCCCATGGAAGCAGCAGTCAGGAAATCAGACAGCATATTGCTTTGGACAAATCTGCTGCCAAAGATCTCTTTAAAGTGTTAAAAAGCAAGAATATCACTTTGAGAACTAAGGTGCACCTGACCCAAGCCATGGTATTTTAAGTCGCTTCATATGCTTGTGGAAGCTGGACAATGAATAAGAAAGACTGAAGAAGAATTGATGCCTTCGAATTATGGTGTTGGTAAAGAATACTGAATATACCATGGACTGCCAGGAGAACAAACAAATCTGTCTCAAAGTAAGTACAGCTAGAATGCTCCTTAGAAGCAAGGATGGTGAGACTTCGTCTCATGTACTTTGGACATGTTATCAGGAGGGACCCGTCCCTGGAGAAGGGCATCATGCTTGGTAAAGTAGAGGGTCAGTGAAAGAGAAGAAGACCTTCAACGACATGGACTGACACTGCAACAATGGGCTCAAACATAGCAATAATTGTGAAGATAGCTCAGGACTGGTCATTGTTTCTTTCTGTTGTACATAGTGTCACTACGAGTCAGAATGGCCTCGACAGCACCTAACAACAACAATATAGAATTGAATCAAAGTGGAAATAGTTGAGTAATTTAAA